TATATATAAACAGTGACTCATGTGAGCGAACTGTTAGAAACACAAGGTTTGCAAAGTTTTAATACATCATAATAGAATTTATACAGTTTAAAATTTGTTTTCGTTTAAGCAAAGCTCTTTGTTTTTAAACAGACGTACAAATTATTCATGTATTCAGTGCTGTATGGTAATATTCAGTGCATAAAGGCTATAAATTAAAAATCTTGCAAAAAGAAAAGGTAAATACGGTACCTCGCCTTGAACTTAAAGTTAATAAAAAGGCTGTTAAGTATAAACAGAAGTTGATGTAATTTTATTGATTTTAATTATTAATAGAGGTTAAATGTTAAACCTAAAACAAAACCTTAACAGAAGGGAATAAAAAGAATAATGTTGGGCAAAGTGGTTGATTCTCTGTGAGAAGTGACGACGAGAATCAAAAGTGGTTTTCATCTCCTTCAAAATAAAAGTTCACATCTTTCAGAGCAGGATTTTGTAAAAAGGTTGGAACATTTCTTTGTAGATTGTTTTTTAAATGACTTCACTTTAGAGAAATAGAGTTTTATTCGGACCAGACTGACCAGCTAATGRCTGGTCTGAGTGGGAGCAAAGTTGACGCTGTCATCTTAAAACAGCTTTAATCTGAAACAGTTCATAGTGATTCATGCAAATACCTCTTTGTATTGCAGTACGCAGTACGTCTGGCAAAAAAAAGCACCTGAAGTGCTACAGCTAGCTGCTGTTGCTGCTGTTYGCATTTAAAAGGTTTAAACTTCACAACTGACAACTTAGTTGCTGATTTGAACAGCTTCAGTTTTTATTTCCAAAGCTAACGTTATTCAGTGAGCTATCTCAGGGTTCCTGCAGATCCTTAAAACGTCTTAAAAGGCATTGAATTCATCGATCCAAAAATAAGGCCTTAATAAGCCTTAAAATGTCTTAAATCAATGTTCAGAAGTCTTAATGTGAACACATTGTAAAAAGGATGATTGTAACTCATCTCACTTTTTTAAATATTTGGTAAAAGTTATTTTTTTAAATATTCACATGCATCCTTTGTCATCACTTCCTGTTATTTCACATACAAATATCTCAACTGTTCATCTGAGCAACGTGAAATTCATTTTGTAATATGTTTATAATGTCTTTCCAAAAGTGCATTCACTTTTCTCACAAAAATCTGATGAAGGTTTCATCTACAGCAAATTAAGGTTAAGACCCCACTGTGGGTCCTAAAACCCCAAATTTTAGTTTGTTAGAGGATTTCCTGAAATTAAATTAAGTTTAAAACGGACTGCGAAGAATGTTTCTGCTATAGTTAGATCTGGATAAAAACAACTGGATCTATTAACATTATTGGAATACTTCAACCAAAAATACTTTGATTCATGAGTTTCTGCCAGTTTTTATTTTATTTTATTTTATTTGTCATTTGTGTTTGTTATGAAATTGGTCTTAAATTTAATTTCACTTGGCATTAAAAAGTCTTTAAAAAGTCTTAAATTTAACTTGCTTTAAACTGTAGGAACCCTGTATCTGCAGCAGGTAAGATAATTATTGCTCATACCCACTTCAGACAGACTGTACTACTGTTTCAAATGTCTTAAAAAGGCATTTCTTTTAAAGCTCTTTTAACACTTTAAATAAAGCACAACAGTAAAACTGGAAGCCAATGCTTTGCTTTTATAAAAGTTYGTACCAAAAGAGGAACGAGCGTCACACAGACGCACACAGGAAGTTGTGATATTTTACTGTGTAAGATGATAACTGATCTTTGGAGCACAGGTAACAGAGCCTTTGTTGTCCTGCCTGATGGTTGTTTGCTCGTTCCTCTCCACAGAGGAAGCACACCGAGCAGGTCTGGGCCTTCTGATCCACTGCCAGGCAGGCGTGTCGCGCTCGGCCACCATCGTGATCGCCTACCTGATGAAGCACAGCTGGATGACCATGACGGACGCCTACAAGTTCGTCAAAACCAAGCGGCCCATCATCTCCCCCAACCTCAACTTCATGGGCCAGCTGCTGGAGTTCGAGGAGGACCTCAACAACGGAATAACGCCACGGATCCTCACGCCAAAGCTGATCGGTCTGGAAACTGTTGTCTGAATGAAGCACGTGGCCCCGCCCCCTCACCACCACACAGACACTGGCTGCTTTACGAGCCCGTTTCAGTGAAACAGAGAGTCAGGATATTTGTTTTGGACTCTCTTCGTCCTCATCTTGGACTTCCTTCAGCTCCCCCCTTGAGGTCAGAGGTGAAAGTCGGGGCCTTRCAGTCCCGGAGGAGAAGACAAGTCAGGTGGAGAAGAAAAGGGGCGGGGTCAAGCTTGCGACCTCAGAGCAGCAAAGCGAGATGAAAAATCGATGGCAGGAACGATATTTTTTCATGCTTGGGGAAGTCGCTTTGAAAAGACTCTTAAAGTTCACACTGTGGCACATTTTATGTTTGCAGACTCAGGCAGGGTTAGCCACAGTGGTGCCTGTCTAAAAAACAACAACAAAAAAACTCAAAAGACTTGTTTGGTGTGTTAATCTTGTTCTATTTTTATACAGGGGTTCAAGGGGATGACCATGACGAGCCCTCGGCGGCTTACTGTGCAATAATTTCAGTGGAATGCAACTGATCTTATATGTGTATATATCGGTGATTAAAAAAACATTTCCAGCTTTTAGCTGAAGACCCATTTTATTGTAATTACTGTCATTCAGCTCTGTGTTTATGGTGCAAACAGTCATGCTGTAATATTTGACGCTGAGAGAGTCAGGTAAAAAAAGGAGTTTACTTTTAAGTGCAGCTTATTGAAATTTGTTTTTCTTCATATTTTCTTCACGTCAGTGTCTTGGTTCTGCCATGTCTGCGTCCAYATGTATTTTTAGCAATACACACGTTACCAGACAGCCATAAGAGCTCTCTTTATGCATGGCTGCTGGCGTGGGGAGGGGGACACTAAGGCAATGGGGGGATATTGTAAAACAGGGCTGCTGGTGATGTTTAATGTAACACAAGGGAGGATTTTCACTGCCTGCTTCTGTCACTTCTTGTTTGTTTTTGCTCCACTTCATCCATTAGCCAGCTCTGTTGCGCTGTGCTGTGTCCACGTTCACTTACATCTGCTGTTCTTTTGGCAATGCCCTACTTTCTAAGCAATTATTTAACCAGTCTGAAGGTAGCAGAGTTGAGGTTTTGTACTCCGAACACACACTTGTGTCGTCTTGTTGGTTACAGTTTAGCGTGACAGCAGTGGTACTCTCGAGCACTCGACCTTTGTCCGGTTTCTTCTCAGCTGCCCGTCGCTGAGCCCGTTACAGCTGTGAGCTCTTCTGCCTTTCATAAAGTGGGCAATCACTGCTGTCATCTGCTGCTTCAGTGCCTCAATCAATGCCTTAATTCATGGGTCACAACAGCATCATACAARTACACTGTCACACCAAGGTCCAGTACCTGTCGGAGAAGAAAATCCCCCAGAAAAAACTGAATCTGTGAGCCGTATTTTATGTATAGAACAACACAAATATCACTAATATGTAATTCATTTGAAAAKAATCTAATCCCAACAGTGAATTGTAATTTAATCCAGCACTAAATAGTGCTTTAGATAAGCACATGACCCATTTCACAACAAATATGTGACCCATCATATCGAAATGAGGATTAAGTTAAATTTGTTCAAAATGACCAAATCACATTTTCAGATTCTTGTCTTTAAAAGCTACATTTTGACACCTGGATCATTCTGATATCATAATTAAATCCATATATATGACTTAATTTGTCTTGTTGGTTACAATAATACAT